TTTGGGGTCTGAGTACGAGTATCCACTTGAACTTAGGCACCATCTCCTCAGAATATAAATTGCATTGTAGTCAATGCCCTCGTTCCCACCTCGCCGTATTTCCGCCCGTCCCTAATGCCCTACAAAACGGCCCACGCCTGAAAAGGTCCCGGGACTACTTTGGGCCGTTTTGTAGGGCGTTTTCCATTGGGATACTGCCAAGTAGCCTTTGGAATCGCGCGACGGCCACGCAACTTTTTTACCGCGAATAGTGGTAAAAAAAACGCGTGACGTTCGCGCGACAGACGCGCATATTACAATACGCCTAGGTGTGAATGGGGTGTAAAAGCGACAGCTGTCACCTATTCAAGTTAATCATCAGGTGACAGAAGTTGCATATAAACTCCTGCACACCGCATGTAATGATATGTGATATGATTACATGTTGTTAGGAGTCAATCACTCTCCCTGGACGCAATGATTGTGTATCCAGGGAGAGTGTTTTCTAACCGCATGTAATAATATTATTATTACATCGTATTTATATAGCGCCAACAAATCACATATCATTACATGCGGTGTGCAGGCATTTACATGCAACTGCTGTCACCTGATCATTAACTTGAATGGGTGACAGCGGCCGCGTGTAAACATCAGATTAGCGATTCCTGCTGCAGGAAAACGCAAGTTTCTGACGCAGGAATCCCTAATTGCACATAAACCTACAGATATGAATGGGGCCTTATTGTGTGTATTGGGGTCCGTAGTACAATATCGCATATAGTTACATTTTATTTTAAAGGAGAACTATGGGGTAAGTGCTTTTCCCCATAGTTCTCTTCAGGGTAACGGGAGGACATAAACTAGCGTTCTCCCGTGACCCAAAGCTCAGTATACCGGGAGCTACAGCTCGTGGTGTGCTGAGACCGCTGCTGCCGGGACGGATCCCGACATTACTGTCGAGATCCCCCCAGCTGCGTGAGTGACAGCTGCCTCTGCCTATCTAGAGGCAGAGCCAGCTGTACCCGCCCCCGTTCGTCCTTTCGTTCGTTCCTCCAGTCAGCGCTGGAGGATCGGAGGGGGATTCCTGCAGGGAGCCGTGACTGGCAGTCACGGCTCTGCAGGGACAGGGTAGAGAAGTGAGCGAGCGACGGTATGCGTCCGCTCACTTCTCGATCTATTGAGTCGACGTGTGACAGTTTAATTGTCACATGTCGGCTCGAACTATGAGGCTGAGTGAAAATCGTTCACCTCATAGTTCTACTTTTAAAGTTTTGAAATTTGGCGAGCGGCCCCACATTTTTGTCGAGTGGCCCTCGAGTGGGAATTGAGTTTGAGACCCCTGTCCTAGATTGTTCGCTTCTCCAAACTCTTCACCCTTCTGTGAATACCCCTGTAAACAAACCCTAGCCTTTTGAGCACTTACCCTTCAGTCAAATTCCTCTCTATCCGGGAATTGAACCTCGTGTCCTCCACCAATCATGAGATTTTTACTCACAAGCCTGCCACCACACAGTCTCTCCCTTTTACTCTTTCGTCTTCCCTCTCTCTCATCCTTTACCCTTTTTAACCGCTTCCTTTTATTAACTCCTTCCCCTTTATTCTCTCCCCCCTCTTTAGCCAGCCGAATGTAGCATGACATATATTATTATAAAAAGTCTGCTTAAAAATGCATGTAGGCTGCATTCTGAAATAAAACAGATCTCAATAGGGAAAGAAGAGAGACTGCAGAAATGTGCATGACAGATGGAGGCTGCAGACTTGTTGGGAAAGACTGTCGGATACTGTAGACATGATGCAGCAATGGAATATGGAGACTGAGAATGTAGTACAGAAGATCTTTAGGAAACGCTGGCGTGCAGTGGGAGAAAATCAGAGACTTTTTGGATATGTTAAAAGAAACTGTTAGAGATCGCAGCCCGTTTACCAGATTGTTCCCGTTATCAGATTGTTCCCGTTATCTTTGAGGCTCCTCTTAGACTGTGAGAGAAGCTTCTTACCTTCTGTCCCATCCTCCAATCCTGGCACACAACATGCCTGCTCCCCATTTCAGCAGCACTGACAAGGAACATAATGCTATGTTAGTGACATGATATGGCCAGTTACTGGACAGATCTGAATCTGAATGTGTGAAGCAATAAAAGCTCACATAGGCGGCATTTCTAGGATCTATGGACCTGCTTGTTCAGTAGCAAGGCATAGTAAATATTGAAAGTTGGACACCCCTCCTTTCCATGGCACGGTATGTACTGCCTATTGCCATGGCAACACTCTTGGCAGCAGTACACGACTACAGGTCACTGAAAATAAAATTTCCAGGGAAAGGATAACCACAGCAGAAGGGTAAATAGGCCTGATGTAGCCAGTTTCTCAGGAAACTAGCTATAAAAACACCCTTTCACAGCTGGCGTGCCTGTTCCAATACTTCCCTCACGTTATGTAGAATTGATGTTCAAATGTATGCAAGATAAATGTATATGTGTGTGACTAGAGGCCTTAGAAAGTAGCATTTTTTGGGGGGAAATACTGTTACTGCAAACTGGATGAAACCTATGCTTAATTACTTTAAAATGGTGAATGTTTCAGGTACATATCAGGGGTGCGGAATTCCTATCGCCCGAGACATGCAGTTTCGGGCGCTGGGCGAGTAGTTTTTATGAACATTTAGCCCTGCTCCGGACAAGCAGAGCTGAATGTACATTGTGGAGCCGCCGCCGCTCGTTTAGTACAAGTGATCTGATCAGACCACTTGTATCAATTTGAGCAGCGGCGCTCGTGTCTGCCTGCACCACCCGCCGTAGTTTTTGGGGTCCCCCGCTCTCCTGGGGGACACCGAAAACTACGGCACAACGGCTCAGCCATAGAGCCCGTAGAGCAGACGAAGAACGTCTGCTCTACGGGCTGTCTGTGTGTTCTCTGAGACCGTGGCGCTGTAATCACAGCGCCACCTGTCTTGGCTGTCAGGAACTACACCCCGGGATCCCCCGGGATACTCTGAATACGTCTCGGATCGCCACAACCCCATTGGGGCCCCCCCCTGTCAGGACCCTCAGCTCCTCAAGTCCCAAATGTTTTGTTTTTTGATGGGTTCTTGTTCCTTCTACCTGTAACACAGACATTGGTTGCCCCTACACCCTTTATACTTCCAGGATTTGGGCTCTCATTTGCCTCATTCCCACACATACCCCACACCCTCATGAGAGCACTGTGTGTTTTTTTCATTTGTTCTGTGTTGGAGGGCAGGTTCCATAAAGAGAACCTGTTACCTTCAAACTATCACATAGTGGATTTTAATCCCCTATTTGATATGAAGAACATATTTGATAGGAAGAAGTGGAAAAAGTAAATAAATAGAAATTTAAAGAAAATGTAAAAAGTTAAAAATATAATAAAATATATAAATATTTAAAAAATAAAGTAAAAAATACAAATGAAACCCTGCTGCCCCCGCCATCTGCATGCAAATAAACGCATGCGTAGGACATTCTGCATGTGCTTTGAGATTGCAGCCGCCATTCCATGTCTCCACGTCTCTCCCAAACCGCCACCCCCCTGGCTATACTTACCTTTTGGCGAACAATCTTTCCGCCAGTATGGGTGTACTATCTGTCCCCCGTACTGCTGTCCAGCGCAGTCCTCCCCTATGCATTTTGGATTTCGCTCGCAAATTGCAAGCACTCATTGGTTAACGTGGTCAGATAACTGCGCTGACCAGTGAGAAGCGCTATTTAGCACAGTAAAATATGTTTTGATTAGGGGTGCACCAATACTAGTGTCAGTGCCGAGCCAGAGTATTTGGGCGAGTACTCGCCCAAATACTCCGATACCTTCCCCGATATTGGAACTTACGGCCAGATGAAAATTTCCTCCGACTGGCAGTGCCGTAGGGGAACATGGAGCCAGCTTCCCGTGCGGCTAGTAATTACACGCCTCCTGGTTTTCTGATTGGCCGGGAAGCCAGCTTCCTGGCCAATCAGCATCGAGCCATTTTCCCGGTCAATCAGGTCATTACTCGCCACCCGACTTCCTGATTGACCAGGAAGCAGGTTTCCCGGCCAATCACAATCAAGCAGGCCAAACAACATGGAGCCGGCTTCCGTGGCAATTAGGAACCTGGGCGAGATGTCATTACCCACTGCCCGGCTTCCTGATTACCAGGGAAGCCTGCTCCCTGCCAGCGGAGCACCGGTATTATTATTCAGTGTCGGCGCGATCCGAAAGCAAAAAATCAGTACGCGTACTCGATACCGAAAAAACGGTATTGGTGCATCCTTAGTTTTGATTAAAACAATGTTTTTGTATTGGGACAAGTAGATTGTCATGAAGGACAAGTAGATTTGGCCCCCACTTTAGCCCTTGGACAAGTATTTTTTTTAATTTCCACACCCCGGACATATGGAGATCTGTCTGAACTTGGGATGCACAGATACCTGTTTTTCGGTATCAAGCACGGGTACTGATATTTTGCTTTCGCTACTCCATACTGGTGCTTCCACTGGCATGGAGCCGGCTTCCCGGCCAATCAGGTATCAAGTAATGACTCGTCTTCCTGGTGGGCCTCCCAGCGGCTCGATACTGATTGGCCGGGAAGCCGGCTTTCCAGCCACTCAGCATAGAGCCAGCTTTCCCGGCCAATCAGGAAGGCACATCAATGCCTGCGTTCCGATCAGAAACAAATAGTGCAAGCACTATTTGTTTCTGATCGGAACGCAGGGATTGATGCGCCACGCGTTCCCGTGTGGCGGATTACACTGTGGCCGGAGGGCGTGGCTGTGGTTCCATTGAGTTCAATGGACCGCCACGCCCCCTACCACTCCAACACAAAGTGAGCATGCCGGAATGTGATCCAGTGCGTTCCGGACCGAATCGGGCCAGAACACACTGGCTGGTGTGAACTAGCCCATATAGCCAGGCAAATATTTGTTCAACTAAGCTTCCCGTCGGACTAATTATTTGTGGTCGTGTCACTGCAACATCCACAATTCTTAATGGCATGAGGCATCCTGTTTTTGCTTTTCAGAATGGACCCTACCAGGCACCCATTCAGGGGCTCCTACTTCCGCATGCCTTTTGGGGTAAGGCCGCCAGTCCCAGAGGCCAAGGATGAGCGAATGCTTGGAAGAGGACTTCCCTTGTCACATGGTCATGCTTTGGAAGGGGCGGCTGCTGCACCTCTTCCTGACCCTCCATTTAGGGTAAATACACACAATTTTCTGGGACCGCTTTAGGAATTTCTTGTGAAAAGTTCGCAGTACTTAACCTTTGTGAACATTTTTGCTTCTAGCTAATTTTTAATGTTGTATTTTCTTATTTTCTATCAGGGAGATGAACAACAAGTACATGTACATAGGCGTTCAAATACATATAGATTTCAGGAGCCAGTCAGTGCAATCTGATAGCCAGTAGGTAGGTTTAAAGTGAACCTGTGCTTTCCCTAAGCATGACAAACTAACAAGTTCATTTAAATGTTGCCCCCTTAGTAGATTTATACATGTCTTGCCTAGGCAAAGCATTGGTTTACTTTTAAAGTGACTATCACCAAAGGGTCTTTTTTACGTGATAGCCCACCTGTAAATGAAGAGGTAATATATTTACATTTTCAGCGGCCCGTGTACTAAAAGAGCCTCAGCTTCATTGCACCCCAGCCGCTCCAAGTATTTGAATAGTTGGATGGGGCAAATACTTACTCCTCCTGCCACACGCAGTGTTTCCTCCCGCTAGCTCATAAACTCTAATGATGACCAAGCTGATGGTAGGAACTACAGTGGCCAGTTAGGGGAACACGCATTTTACACACCCGGAAGTACTTGCAGTGACCAAGGAGCAGGGAAGCGGCAGCTTTTGAGTACACTGATCGTCAAAAAGTTAGGGATTTTTTACTTTGCTGTCACAGAAGCGGGCTATTGAGTTACAGGTTTGCCTTAAGGAGCCAGGGATTCTGTACTTCCCCCTGTTAATGACTGATACACTTCTCAAAGTAGAACTGGAGACAATCTTTTTTTTTTTTAGTTTGTTTAGTGTAAGGAAGGGTTATAACCCCTGTCAGCTTTTTTTTTTGCCTATGTGCGTCTCATTGGAGGAGATTTCCCTTTGCATCCTGTCTAATGTCCACAACAGATAGAGGAAATCCCTGTTAGTCAGCAGAACTAGTTTTCCCATTTAAAGATTTCTTCTCTATTCCTGTACTGGTGGCAACCCACAATTTTGGAATTTCACTTTCAGTGATAAAAGAGGGGAAGAGGGTGTGACTCTCTCTAAGGCTGGGCACACACCTTACAACCATTGCAATACTTTTGTCTTGCGATGGTTGTAAGGTAATAAAAAAAACTTACGATCTGCCTGTCTTCCGATGACCGCAAGCCGCGCCCCCTGAGGGGCGGGCTTCCGATGACCGCAGTGCCGAACGACCTGTCCGGCGTTTATCGTACGAACATGCTACACAACCGCCGAACATCGTACGATGCTCGGCGGGTTTTCGAACATGTTCCTGAGATAAAAGTCGTGCGACCTTACAGTAGTAGAGGTCGCACGGCTTCCACACACCTTACGATAATCGTACGATTGCGGGATTTCCCGCGATTATCGCAAGGTGTGTGGGCACCTTAATGGGGACATGAACAGCAATGAAAACCTGCCAGCTGTTCTAATCTCAATCTACTCTATCCAAGACTACAAAAAAAAAGCTTTGGCTTCCTTTGCACTTTATCATTGGGTGCCTGCTGTTGTATTGTAAACATGTTAATAACTGGTTACTGGCATTTGTAGAGTCCTGACATAAATACTGTACTTCTGAGGCCACAGACCAGTAGCTGAGGATAATACGGAGTGTCATTCTGCATCACCTTGCTGTTTGTTTTACTCTAGTGACAATGTAACTCCTTTTAGGGCCCACAGGATACTAGCAATGTACTACCGTCCCTGTTTCGTGGTTTAGGCCTAGAAACACAACCAACTGTGGCCCCTGGTCGAGGTGACTTCTTAAGGGGTAAGTTATTTTAGTGGTGAGTACATTCTTTCTATTTCATGTTGACAATACAAATGCAACTTTCTGGAACCATTTTCAAGGCCTGCTAGGGTAATCTACAGTACATTCTCCAGTTAAATGTGAACCTGTAACGAGATTACAAAATCAACTTCATATTTTAAGAACCATTCAATGCTGATCGGTACCCTCAGCTTCTCAAACTTGTGCTCCAGCACTCCCTAGGATCTGACTGGACCTTGGAGCATAGCTATGGCATTGACCCTTTCCATATTAAAGTTGCTGAAACTCAAGATTGCTCAGGCAAAAGAATTTGTATTGTGGAGTTTCGGATGGTAGTGTGTCTTTGTTACCACTACCAGGTGGGAAGTAACATAGGCAGTTCAGGGGGGCTCCATTGTCCATTCTGTTAAGGAGTTTTGATGATGGTTGAAAAGCACTATTTTTGTATTGAGGAAGGTTGTTGTAGAGAACATAAAGTAGAACTCCAACCAACACAGATTCAGAGTTGACTGGGTAATATGCAGGTATCATCAGATGTTTGGACACTGGCCCGAGCTGTGAAGACCCTCATATAACCCCATCAACTCCCAAGAATCCCCACCTTTGTTGGGAATGTCCTTTTTGGTTATGGATTTCTCCATTCTGCCGACAGAGATGTAGTTTACATCCTATCTTGTTACTTTTATTGTTCAATCCATTTTTTTCTCCGGCTTTATCCGGACATGGCCGCAAACGCACAGCTTTTCGGATTGGTGCTCCATGGCAACAGTTTTGGGGACTGTACCCAGACTCTGATAGACGGGAAGACAGCTTTAATGTAGCATCAGGCACTGCATTAAGCATTCATCTAGCCACATGGTCCAGCACCTTGGGTTAGCAGCAGGGTGCTATACAGGTCAAGAGCAGTAGCATATCAATATCAGTATGAACCCTGTCCCTAAAGACTCCTTCATGGTTAAGCTGGACCGTAGGGAGTGAAACTGAGCGTCGGAGGAATATCCCTTACCTTGTTTGGAGACGTTTTTCTTAATTGTACATCACAGTCAATTCTGGAACCAATGGGACATCCAAAAGCAGTCTGACAGGCGGACAGACACAGTAACAACGACTAACAGGCCCTTAAAGTACACAGTCCAACAGGGAGCTATAACACGAGGGGCCCACACTTGAGAGGGCTGCCTGAAGAACTGTGCCACTGAAGTTGTCACCCGCCAAGGCATAAACGGCCTGGTAGAACTTGGCAAAATTGTGAACTGAGGAACAGATGGCAGCCTTACAAATGTGGAATACCTAAACCTGATGTTAAGAGGCCCAGGAAGTATGAACATTTGTAATGGAGTTAAAGAATAAGTCTCACCTTTTTATTATTTTTCACAGCTCAGTCACCTGACTCCCACAATTTATGGTGGTTTTTATCCCATGCTTCTGTGTTAAGTAGAAGCTGAGATACAGAGGTCAGTTCCTATTCATATCCATGCACTATTCAGACGTAAGAGAGTAACAGGCGTGCAGAGGGAGGGGGTGGGGCACACTCTTAGAGAAATCAGCACAGGCATCAAAACTGGAAGGGGAGCCTTGTTTTGTGTTGTGAGATTGCAGAGACTGTAAGATAAGAGCTGTCAATCAAGAGTCCATCTCCTTTTGCAGAACTTAGCTTAAATTGAAGAGGAGTGAACCAGGGGTCAACATTTCAAGTCCTGAGCTACTAGCCAGGCCTTAAGAGTTATCAAGCCTTACAGGAATTTCCACTCGCCTGCACTGCATTTCCACTCGCCAAATGCGAGTGGAAATTTTGAGCCCTGAGTGAACTATCATTCTCAGTTTCTACATCACACAGAAGCATGGGATAAAACGCAGCATACACTGTGAGGGTTAGGTGACTGACCTGTTAAAAATAATACAATGCGTGACATCTTTAACTCCCTGTGTTTTCTCCAAGAAAGGGATTTTACAGATAGGAAAAAATCAGATTGTTAAATTTCCTCAAAGGTTTTATTTCACAAAGATGGGTCCAGTACAGTTATGTTTTACAGCCTGGATATTGTAAATTTGTACATTAAAAATGTGCATTGATGAAAAACAAATGACTCATTAATGACTCCTGCTGTAGCTGTGCCGATGAATATCTCAACAAGAAATACTCCTCCAGACTACTCGGAAATTATTTCGTCTTAAATTGTTTTGTGCTCATGACTTGACTTGCAGGCACAAGATGTGTTTTTGATTAACATTAATTACTTGTATTTATTCGTCTGTGCCCATAACTTTAGGAAGGTGCATTTAAATCTTCAAGGAAACCTGTACTTGCATTTCATATTAGGAAGAAAGTTATACTGTATAGCATGCACACTGTGGCTTCTGGTTTATTGGGTAGATTATGCAGTCCCCCATTCCAGAATTCAGTGCTTCTTGCCAGTCATGTGCAAATAATTCTAAGTTTGGGTATTAGGGAATGTGCCGCAGTAAATCTATATTTGCATAATATATATAGGGACCAGTTTCGCTGTTACACGTTTATTTAAAGTAGAACTATGGTCATCCATTAAAAACAATGTCTTGTAGCACTCAATTGTAAATATCTCTTCACTTCAGTTTCCCTTTAGTGCCTATGCAAAGTCTCACAAATACCTGTTGCTTCTACCAAGAAAGTCCACCTTAATTTTTTTTTTGTAACAATTTTTTTTAAACCTTTTTTTTTTTCACTGAACGTTATTGCTATCACATAGGGAGCAAGCAAGCTCCCTATGTGATAGCCAATTTGCAGTGACAGGTCCTCTTTATGGAGACATCAGGGGTCTTAAGACCCCGAATGTCACCTAGGGATACCTTCACCAGCTTCTCTCTGGTTTTTGTACCGGAGAGTGACACTGAATGCAGGCAACATACAAGCTAAAGACGCCCACCCGCACTCAAGAAGACGCTGTCCGGCCGTTTCATTACAACGGCCGGACAGTAGGTAGTTAATATAGTAAAAAATAAAAAACCCCAGCGGTGATTAAATACCACCAAAAGAAAGCCTTTATCTGTCCCCAGAAAATGGTATAAAAATAATTTCAGTACAGCGTTGTATGACGGAATAAATGTCAGTCAAAGTACTGCAGCGCTGAATACTGAAAAATGGCCTGGCCAGGAAGGGGGGGGGG